AGTCCCAAATCTTTTATATAATTGGGACGAGTAAGAGAGTGATTGTTAATCCTATAATTATAGATTACAGGACAAGTCATTCTAGAGAAGGACATTATGTTATATTTACCTATGTTAAGGGGACGACAGTTTTCTGTACACCATGTATTCACTGATGTTAAAGCATTTTGTAAGTTCTGACAATCATTTAAACTATATCTTCATATCATCAGCGTAAAGTAAGAAATTAACATCCAAATATTTATTAATATTATTCAAAAAAAATATTGAACATTAAGGGTTCTAAAATGGAACCTTGGGGAACTCCAGACAATACATGTATGAGTTCAAATTTAAATCCCCTATATTGTACATACTGTATTAAGTACGATTTAAACAAATTCAACAGTCTTGTAGAGACACCACATACGTCTAACCTTTCCAACAGAATACTATGATCTAACCTCTAACCTAACCTGTCGAACGCTTTAGAAAAATCTGTATATATAACGTCGACTTCACCGTGATTGTCCAAAGTTCTAGAGATATAATCTGTAATACACACAAGGTTTGTTGTAGTCGATCTACCTCTCAAAAAACCATGCTGATTAATATCTATAATTTGTTTAACGTGCTCATATAAATGATTATGTAAAATGATTTCTAATATTTTGCTAAAATTACATATAATTGAAATAGCACGATAGTTGGATATATCACTTTTATCGCCATTTTTAAAAACAGGGCGTATTCTCGATATTTTCCAAATGTCCAGGAAGGTTTCCGTTTTTAAAATCAAATTAAAGATAACCCGCAACAGTCTTGCAAATACAGCAGCACAGTCTCTCAAAAGAAAGGCCGGAATTAAATCAGGCCCCTTTGTAAAATTGGATTTTAATTTTTTATACTTTTAACAATATCTTGTTCCTCAACCTGTCCTCAAAATCCAATATTATATTATGAATTAGCCGACTGTTATGATGTCTGTAGGTATACGTTATTCTGAATATAAGAACTAGGAAAACATTGTGCAAAACCATTCGCTATAAGTTGTCCATTATTTAGTTCTTGATCATTAAAATTCATAGTAGCAGGATAACCTGTATCTTGATTTTTATTAGAAACATAAGACCAAACATTATTAGGTTTTTCTTTTAGCTCTTGCTCAATTTTGCGGACAAAATTTCTTCGTGCCTCAGAAATATCACGTTTTATTTTTGATATATGTAGTTATATTTACGCTAGCAGTTCTTTTATATGTATTCCATAGCCTATACTGATTTTTAATATCCTTAATTATAGACGTCGAGTACCATCTCGGATATTTGGAATTACGAGGCTTAGTTTTCGGCACATTAGAATCCAAAATTGAATAGAGGTAATTATAAAATAGCTCACAGGCGTAATTTATATCAGTGCAACTATCTAAAAATAACCAATCAGCTAAAAATAAATGCTCATAAAGTGATGGCAAATTAGCCTTCCAGTAATTATAAGAAAGAATTTCATTATGTAATAGATTATCTTTTATTTTATATTTAAATGAAATCCCAATGTCTAGAGCAGGATGGTGAGGATCTTCTGGCAAAAGTACGTATTGGGATTTCACAATTTTACATATATTAGAAAATAGGACCAAGTCCAGGCAATAATTGTTAATATTGAAGATATTATTAAATTGAGTTAGTGAATAAAAATCACATAAATACTTGATAACATCAGCTTTTTGACTGTTTACATTTAAAACGAAATTTGGAACAATGAAGTCCCCAACTATAAGAATGTCTGGTCCACAATTACATTCTAAAGATTCCAAGGCCTCACAGAAAGAATTGTATAAATTTACGTGTAGATTTGGAGGAATATATACAACAAATATATTAAGCTGCTTAACATTTAAAGTAATTTTAACGCCCACTATGTCTATTTCAGGAATGTTATCAAAAAGAGTATTTTTTAAATTCAGTACTGATACATTTAAGTGCGAATTCACTGCCAATAAAACCCCACCACCTCTTTTAGTAGTACCTGCAAAATTCCGATCTTTACGGAAAACTGTAAAATGACCATCAAATAACTCGCTATTTAGCACGCCAGAATTCAGCCAGGTTTCCGTAAGAGCGTAAATGTTAAATTCGATTAGACCGCCCACTACTGATTCAAACAATTCAGATGTTTTTGTGCTAAGACCTCGGACATTTTGATAGTACACTGCCGGTCCTTTGAGAGTGGACAATTTATTTTTCTAATGTGATGTGGTCTACTTTTCTTATTATGACAAGTTTTTATATGTCAGTGTCATAAGTAATTTGCTTGGTAATTCGAGATGCCGCTTTTAACTGAACCAGAGAAATAGTGAGAGCTATAACTTTACTTCAGAATGATTGGTCATTGCGGATGATCTGCATGTATGCAAGAACAGCATATTTAAACTCAAAGAAAAATGGATTGCGGAGGGTCACGTATGTACGTTATGTTCACGGAGGTGGACGTCGAAAAGTAAGCACCACCTAAGAATAAATTCTTTTGACATGGCAGTAACGGTTTCCTTTGAAACGAGTTTTCCTCAGTGCGAACTGCAAGGAAGCGGGTGAAAGATTCGAAGCTGAAGAATTATGTGGCCGGCAAATACGGTTGCTTTGACTCCCCAGTATAAAGAACAAAGGTTAGAGTTTGCAAGACAATTTGTAGGAAGCCCAGACAACTTCTGGGAGAATATTATATTTTCGGACGAAAAAAGTTTTCAGTCTTGCTCCGATGGTTCTGTCCGTGTCTACCCACAGGCATTATAATAGGATGTGAAACCCACACAGCGCTGCGGAAGATTCTCCATTAACGTTTGGGCTTGGATAAACTGCCAAGGTACTGGTGTTTGTTGAAAGATAGAAGAGCGCCTCACTGGACTGAGCTATATGCGCATAATGGAAAAAGTTATCCGTGACCATGCTGTATCCTCAGAATTTCACTTTCCAGCAGTATTATTGTACCTCAAGAATTGCGTCAGAATGGTTCATTGATAACAACATCGATGTTTTACCTTGGCCCTCAAAGTCCCCTGTCCCCACTCCTATCGAGAACGCCTGGGGATATATGGTGAAAAAAATTTACGACATAAACTTCCGTCCAGCTAACGTCGAAGAACTTTGGGAGGCAATTGAAAACGCATGGGATAACATCACTGAGAACATTAGTTTTATCAATGCCATGTAGATTGCAGTGGTATAGACAAAAATGGTGCTTGGACATAATACTAACTTTCCAAGTCGCATTTTTCTGACGACAAAAAGTGTATCATTTTTAGACCTCGTTGACGGCGATTGAATGGCCGTTAGAATGTATAATATATTTCAATATTGGAAAAATAAATAAATTGCTACCTAATTTGGATTTGTTTTGCTCACTAGAACTAATATGATAGACACACATTAAATTTGACATAATGACAGCCGATCTGAACCTCACATTTTCAAGTCAGCTTCACAAAGGCCAATTATAGACAATTTGCTTATAAGAGTCTACCACTTTCAAAGGGTCGGCACTGTACCTACATTGTCAGGTTAAATTTATTTACTGTCGTACTTGTACTGGATTGTTCTATTAAGGAAATATTAGAAATTAATTGATATTTTGGATTAATGATGTCCTTCTTAAAATCCTCTAATCTATACTTGTACACATAACATTTCACTCTGTCCCAGGTGGAATCAAGATTTAACTTACTTTTAATGGAGCATTTGAACTACAGTCTTGAATTTTATGATTTCCAGCACATTTTGGACATATATAACTATCTGTACAATTTTTGGCTATATAATTGAACCCGCAACACCTATAACAACATTTTACCTCCAGACCATCGTACACAGAACAACTATCATAACCGATAAATAATTGACCAGTATTCATAATTTTAGTGTAAGAGTTAGCATCTAATTGTAGGTATTAAAGCCTGAAAAATATTTGTCTTATTCTTTAAAGGTTTCTCACTTATAACTTCTAAGTCACAGGTTTCATCAAGTAGACCTTTATTCTGAGTTTTCATAAACTGTATTAGCATCAAAGGATCCAATTTCTCAGTCATTCCCACGACTTTTATACTTGGATGCAGTTTAGTTACTTCCTTAATGTCATATTTGTCAGACATTTTTGTTTCAGCAATTTCTGTAAACCTCTTCACATGATTATTTGTTGGGCAGCTGATAATAAGGCCACCATTGCTAACATGCTTCACGCTAGAGACACACATATTTGAATCAACTGGTTTAACATTTTTTATTAAATCAGCCATCGTCGCAGCATTGCGTTGAGCAGTATTTTTTGGCTTAATAACAACGGAGTTATTGTTTATAAGGACATTAGAGTATAATGGCCTCTCAAAGTTCAGTTTAGGCTCAAGTTCCTTAAATTTGGGTGTAATTAAATTTTCAATATTTTTCATTGCATCGTTAAGCATCTTTCTTCTTACAACCATCACACATATAAAATAAATTTAATTACTTATCGAACATTTTAAATTAAGCATCGCTCATACTAATGCAAGTGTGATGAAACCATTTGTTGCACATACCTTCGCATCCAACCAGATGACCAATTCCATCTTTTTAATGATGATTAAATTAATAGTCCACAAAAACTGAGAATTAAGATGATGAGCCTTACAGCAAAAAGCTATACAAGAAACAATTGAAGTTTTTCCTCCGTCTGTAGGTATTAGTTTCACATTTACCATATAAATTAAACATTATTTATCTATTATAAGACTCATTCCACCAAATGAATGTATTTATTTATATCACCACTACGTATATATAGTTTTTAGTACAACTGAGAGAAAAAAAATTGTTTTTTCGCGGTATTAACTAATGAAACGAAGGAAATTTCAAGAGCAATACCACAAACGACTGTACTCTACTTTTTATCATTGTCTTTATCGTTACCATTAACATGAGGGCAGATAATAAAAGGTAACATTACCTGATATTACATGATAATTGCTTTGACGGAAAAGAAAAAATCTGACACAGTATCCCAAGAAATATATTTTCTGAAGAGTTGTTATCATATTGTCATTAATGTTACCACATACAGTTGTTTTCATTCAAAAGGGTCACATAAAAGAAAAGAGAAATTATTACACACTGAAAGTGGTATATTTATGAAAGTACAGTTATAAAAATAAATAGTATTCTTAGTTAAACATTTATAAATATAATATAAAATATACAAATTTTTCTCAACATCTAAGTGTTAGTGATTTCTCCTCGTAAATCAGTTTTCATAAGCTGAAAATGAAAACAATCAGAAACATCTAGGTAGCTGATAAAATCATTAATTTTGAACTTACCTCCACTCGTTGCAGATACGTTAATTCTGGAAGTCCTAATACATACATTAATTTGGTAAGAGCCGCTTCTACTGTCATGTCTCTTCCAGAAGTTAAACCGATCATTTCCAAAACCTTGAAAACAGATATTTATGAAAAATATATCGCTACTTAATCAATAAGGAAATATTTTTAAACGCCAATATAAATTCATTAATTACAAATTCAACTTTTTATATATTTCTTTCCGGTTAATTAAAACCTCTTGACTAGTAAATAGATACACGGTGTTCCTTAATGATATGCGAATATTTAAGGGTGTGATTCTATATGGAAAATTAAAAACGTTCCGTTACGAAAATACAGGGTGTTAAAATTTTAGGAAAAAAGAAGGAAATTTTCGAAACTATACTTGCTATTTAGTACATTACGTAGTGATAGTTAATAAAGGTGCATGTTTTTCAATATAAACATCATTTTTAGCTCTAACAGTGGCGTACCAACGAGCACTGACTTTAATATTTTTAAAGAAAAAATGGTACTCCAATGGTTTTTTTCTCAAATAAAATTATTCTTGAAATCCCCGTTCAATACGAACGATGAGACCTCTGAGTTTTTGTCCTGCGATGCACCCTTTAACTTTTTTTACTATGAAAATTTCTACGCCCCAGAGTCCTTCCGCACCAGCCGCCACTGGATATAACAGACCCTCTGTACTTACTGTGAGGATAAGACTTGATTGGCCGCCATTACAGAAAAACGGATTGAGTAAAGCGAAGTTCTCGACAAATTTTATAAAAAAGTTTTTTGATGTCTTGTTCAAAATATGATTGTAAAATGATATACATATTACTGATATTACGTATCAGCGCTGCCCTGGAAAACAAGATAGTTTCATGACTGACATACAGGGTAGGAAAGTACCGATGGTCTATCTGAAGTTACGTGAGAGCGATAAAGTAAGCCATAGAAATCCATGCGATAGAGAAGGATAGCTATAATGAAGACCTCTCATAGTCACCGCCCGTTTCGCCCTTCCACAAATAAGTAATAAGTAATATCCACTTCTTATTTGTGGAAGGGCGAAATGGGCGTTGACGATTAGACGCCTTCATTATAGCCATCCTTGTCTATCACATGGATTTCTATGGCTTACTTTATCGCTCTCACGTAACTTCTGATAGACCATCGGTACTTTCCTACACTGTATAACACTGTCTCTTATTTATTTTTTTCTATAAAAGTCGTACTTATAATTTCTGATCTTCCGAGCTTCCCCAAAAATTAGAATCATCTACTATTTCAGTATAATTTTTTAAAATAAATGTAGTAAATTTGCACAAATATAATTAACACACGTCAGTAACAAATGAAAACATTAAAAATATCTTTGTTTCCACGGCAACGGCTGACAACATCGATACAGACTTAATCTGTTAGCTTTTTTAATAAAAGAGAGAACTTTTATACGATGTAAAAAAATATTTATGAATTTGGAAAAAATAATTTCGTTGACGTCACCGCCTTTAAGACGGTAAACATATCAAGATGAAATTTTAAGTCAAATACTTATATCATGCCAAAAAGGTTCCCTCTTGCGGTTTCCTATTTGCTCCTTCCACTTTCTTGTAATCGCGGCCAACCACCAGTTTTGGGCCAACCTGTACATCGAATACCAACCAAGATACCACTAAATTTAGCTCAAGAAAGGATGCGTGATACAGACATTAATCTTTTTTCTTTCTGTCACTGTTTAGCCAGTACTCTATCGACCAATCCTACCTAAAATGACCCACTGTCATACCGCATATTTTCTAGGAACATATCGAAATAAACATAATAATTAATGGAGTAAAAATTTAAAGTTCGAAATGTTATGGCTGTTTATGTCCTGTTTGTGTTTTCTAGAACAAAACAAAAACAAAACTGAAACAAACCGAAAACTCTTGTTTCCATCAAGCGGGCTACATTTTGTTCGAGTTTTGTTTTTGTTTTCAGTCCTTTTCCACTGGTTGTCGCGAGGAAGTCAGAACACATTTTTCCAATAACCAGCCAACATGTTTAGAGAAGATTTTTTTATTCTTAGTTATGGCTGGTTTATACTGAAGTCCTTGGAAAAAAAGTGTGTCTACAGAGTGTCCCACCTCGAACTCCATCGATGGATATCTGGGAAACCGCTCTAAGGATTTTTTTGAAATTGTGATGGTGTGATACGGACCGTGGGGCCCACCAAGTTAAAATATTTTCAAGGTCATCGTACTTCCGGTTACACCGGAAGTCGATACTAACTTTCTTATTTTAAATGGAACCCCCTGTATATTATTGCATTTTTGGAAACATCATCCATTTTTAAGTTGAAAACATATAGCACACTCCATACTTAGGATTGACCGTTTCCGAGATATTTCGATTTTTAAACAAAAATTGACAGATGCAGACTGTCAGCAAAATTTAGTTTTCCCGGTTTATTTTTTTGTGCAAATTGGACATTTTGTAGAGAAAGACCTACTTTATCGAATTTGACATGAAAATTTTCCAGTTTTTATACAGGGTGGTCAAAAATTTTTTATCGAATATGAAGTTCAGAATATGTGGAAAACTCGAAATTTTTAAATGGAAACCCCTAATTTTTTTGCAATAATATACAGGGGGTTCCATTTAAAATAAGAAAGTTAGTATCAACTTCCGGTATAACCGGAAATACGATGACCTTGAAAATATTTTAGCTTGGTAGGCTCCACAGTCCGTATCACGCCATCACAATTTCAAAAAAATCCTTCGAGCGGTTTCCCAGATATCCATCGATGGAGTTCGTGGTATATGTACGGTTAAAGTGTTTACTTGGTTAGTTTGTATCCTAGCCAAGTAAACACTTTAACCGTACACATATATATTTTTTAATAGCTATAATTCATTAATGATTAAAATATTGTTTTTGGGAAGAAGAAAACGCCAACATAGATATTGGGTTGGATCACTTAAATAGAAAACACAACACGACCGTTTCCACTAAACAGACTTGAGTTTCAAAACACGTCGAAACCTTTTGATGTGACCGCTTTCGAGCGGGACCCGAAAAACAAAACTCCAACTGTCGCAAAACACGCCAGTCTTCAAAAAGTTTGCGAAAAGTTACAGTTCTGTTTTATTCGACACAAGTTTGTGTTTTGTTTTTGTTTTGTCCGTTTAGTGGAAAACCGCCTTTAGGGACTTCCGCATCTAAAAACTTACCATTCCACATTCATAAGAATTACTGACCGCTCCTCGAGCACACTGGGTGACATTTATTACTAAAATTTCTCTTTCAACTGCTTCTCTTAATACTTGCAATATATCAGGTCTGTTGGACGGCAGGTTACCAGCTCCATAACTTTGTATGACGATACCTTGTGTGGGCGGCTTCAAATATGATTGTAACTAAAAAATTAATAAGTTAAGGATATTTTTACGCATAGTTTACTCGCATAATACATAATTAACCAAATAAGTAGGTATTTGTTAAAAATACAAAAACTTTCTTTGCCAAAAAGTAAGTTTTCCAATATCTATAAACATATTTCCAAAAACATCTATTATTAAAGTCAGTTAAAATTCAGTTTTTATTTCATTGCTTGCATTTAGAGAAACAGAATACAGTTGGAATGTTACTTTAAGGGTTTTTTTGGCGAGAAAACCGCTAACTATAGTTAACCCGGTTAACTATAGTTTATTGCGGTTTGACGTTTTGGCGAGAAATGTAGTTAACCCGGTTTGGCAGAGTCTGCCTAACCATCAAACCGGACTTGTGGGTTGGTTTGGATCTTAAGTTAATATTTCAATCTTTGTTTATTTATTTTCTGTTTCGTACCATCGTACCTAGTCACTACTTCGTTTTTTAGAGGTTTGGATAGGTATAAGTTGTAAATAAAAAAATTTGGTAATGGATTCACTTTGCAGAAAATACAAAGTAATATTTAAAATTGGTAATAAAAAACTAGTAATCGGGGATCCAAATAACTTTAATCGTTTATAAGATGGTAGATATGCATTTTCTATATTGTACTGTATAGATCTTTATTAACTTCCTTTTAGACAATACATTTGCGTTGGAATAGATAATATTCAAATAATAATCAAACAACTTGAGCTACGAGCACTATCATAGATTATAGGTTACGATTTTATTATTGATTAGATATCCAAACCAAAAGAATTTTTGCGAGTTCTGTCAAATGTTAACTCAAACTCTTGACACAATCAAACTCGAGCTAACAGGGTTTGATGTGGTTTGGCTCCCCAAAAAACCCTTTATCTCAAAGTTTTTCCTACACCAATATTTTTATTGATATGCGGCCATCGAAAGAGTTTGAATATAGCAACTCTTAACGGTTTTTTCATTATATTTTCTACGGAGTTGAAAATTTACAACTAAAAAAAATGCCATTTCAAAACTCCTATAAACACTAAATACATTTACTAAAACTGTTGAAAATAGCGACCTACAACTTCTATCCTGGGACGCGTTGATTTGCTAACACAAAAAATGCCTGAATTTTGTCGATTTGTCTTATAAGACGCGATAATGCTGTTCCGTAATTCCTTAAAATTTTCAGTTGAAGTCGTATACACCAATTGTTTAAGACGTCCCCACACCCAGAGAAAGAAATCGAGAGGGTTTAAATCTGGGCACCGTAGAGGCTAAATTTGTGCTCTGTTCAATATTGAGTCATCATTTCACTCTATTGATTCACTCCCTACCTTTACTGCTTTCACTCACACGGTTTTTTTACAATGTGTGTAAAAGTGCTTGTACACGCTGAATAATAAAATAATTTTTAAGAATCCTCCATGTCATTGATATGAAAAGTCAAGCAACGCGAATTGCGGTTAGTAGGTACTTGGATGGTTGAGCATCCGGGGAAAGCGCGTGATGATCGTCCACCTTCTAGTGGCCTGTATATCGGTGTATTCAAAGAAGCTATACAAATTTAGGGGAGGTTTATAGAGGAAGATCTACCATTCTTCGGAAAGACAATACAAATTTAGGCGAGATTTGACATACTAAAGGATGTAAAACCGTTGGTCCCTTGTCTAAACCATGCTAGGCAAGTAAAAGATCCCTACCCCGACACAAAATTTCCTGGTTGGGATTGCTCGTCTCCTGGCTTCTGTGTTTAGCCATAGTAGCAGTAATAAGCAGACGTAAAATAACCAAAATGCTAAAAAACTGAAAGAATACTCCAATCTGTAGAGTGCAGTGACGACTTGTGGTCATATTTTAATAATAAATCTTAAAACTTATACCATTTTTAGAGAACTATTATTTCTAGGTCGCAAATAGAACTTCCGGAAAATTTCGGAAGAAATTTGCGAAACAAAAAATAAAATTAGGGGTTGCTGATTCTCGAGAAAGGATTACACAAGTATTTGGAAAATTTTTGCTTTCGTAATCAACTGGTAGATATAGACAGTCGTTTTTTATTTTCCTTATGAAGTTTGAAAAACTGAATGTTAGTATTAAACTAAATTAAAGAAAATTTAATTTCCTCTAAAATGAAAAAAAAAAAAACGGTAATTTGTATATACCAGTGGATTATGAAAAAAAATATTTTGTACAAATATATATGTTCAACTCAACCCTTTTCGAGATCTTAAGGTCGGCAATTCCTATTTTATTATTTTTTCGCACATTCCTTTTTAAATTCTTTCGTCATGAATGTTATCTTTCTGAGCATAGAAACCATTCTCTGTATGTTTATGGGTCCCTTGCTTCATTATGAAAATATGACAACTTTAATTTGATAGAATAAAGTAATATCCCAAATTGCATTCTTCTACGTTTCTCCAACTTTGAAAAATACAATAAAAACCGATTTTTAACTTACCCCTTTAAAGGGTGGTAATTCCAATAGAAGACGTTTTTGGAAATAAGTCTATATAGAAAACTCCTCTTACTTTTTGACAAAGAATCACTCTCAAGAACTTTTCGCAATATTTAAGAAACGTTCTTATAAATGACATATCGAGTTTTCCTAATAACTAATTTTAATTCACTTTCAAAAAATAATTATTTGTAAACCAAATGGTAAAGGGTACCCCCTTAATTCGACTGCCATATTTGTACAGGTTGGTCTTTAAAAATTAACACAAAAAGTTTAAAGGAATAAGGATATCTACAATTGCGATATAAGATATAGCAGTTTGAGGGTAACATTGACAATGTTTTATTTAATATTTTCTAAACGGGTTGAAGCATTTGTGTTGCATATTTTCTTTCTGAAGAATTTGTACTAATTACTCATACAGTATAAAATTAGTGATAAACCTTTAAATAGATATTACATATTAATATTTACCATTTCACGGGTAATTGTAGGAAAGAAGGACAGGAGTACCACTTTTGAATTCAAATTCGTGTGCAGTTTAAAGTGGACGGAGTCATCTACTTTTCGAATATGATGGTGGTTAACTATAAAAAGAATACAGTGGATGAGCTCATGTACTTTTAGTAAAAAAAATAGTTTTAAGTTATTTGAAGCAATTTACTGTAAGCAAGTATTTATTTTTATATGATTTATAATTAGAGCTGTCACAATCGGTCCGCTAGCCATTGACGCCGTCAATCATCCACGCGAGCTGCCTAGCTGTAGGTTTAGTCGCCGATTTCACTGTAATCGAACGATTTCTTTTACGATTTTAGTTGTCTTTTGATGCATAAACAAGGAGTAATAAATTATGTACTTGGGCCAGCACCACAGCTTTATCAGTAGTAAATTTGTCCAACAAAGCGGCAATCAACACGTATTATTTCAAGTGCATGTGGATCATAGGTAAAGTTAAAAAACGAACAATACTTTTTTTTACTAAAAATATAAACAATAATGTAATTCAGTATACAGGGTGATTCACAACTTATCCAAAAAAAATTGGGAATAGATGCAGCAAGAGAAATGGAATCAATATCGTAAAAAAAATTTTGCAAAATCCTTATAGTTTCCGAGAAAAAAAATATTGAAGTTACAATCAACCACTACATAGCTGGACAACTGTAGTCTCTAGCGTCATTCACCACGTGGCCTCAGCGACTCCGAATACTGAATTCGGATTTTGCAATCGTCGTTGCGATATTTACTTGCTATCTCTAGTGTTTACAACAGGTTTTTAGTAGTTAGTGTCAAAAATGGGTAGTTTGTGTCAAAAATGATTTGCGTGTACTCGGAGTTGATGGTTTATGGTGAAGCATTTGTGTTAAGGTGAAACAAGACAACATTTGTGTTAGTTTGTAGAAACTGAGTACAACGGTACCAAATGTGTTTACACATTGGTGGATAAAATTTTGAATAATTGTTGTAACATCGGGTATGTCAAATGATTTTATTATTTAAAAACACAAATTAATTTTATTAATTAATAAAGGCAAAATCAGTTGAATTTGCCGATATAAAATAGGTGCCATAAAATTCTATTTACATATTTCTTTCCTTGCGAAAGTTTTTGTCCGTTTTTATCACACCGCCATGCCGGTCGCATTGTGCAAGGTCAGGTTTTACAGTGGACCAGTTTCCAGTGCCGTGCAGAAGTGTATTTTTAAATCATTTTCGAACTGCCCTTTTTGATTTTTTCTTTACAAAATTGTATTTGTAAGGGTCTCCTGTACATCCAGAATTTTTTTTGGATAAGTTCTGAATCACCCTGTATACATACTTGTATATGTATAAAAACGTTTAAAATAAATATTAATAAACATAAAGTAATAAATATTAAACAGTGCACAACACACGTAGGTATAAAAAAACTGACGAAAACCAAAAGACTCAATTTATGTTTAATTTAATCTTCGTACCGATTGCACGTAACCTACCATTTGACATAGCAAATACTAAAACATTTCATTCTTACTGGTATAAATACAACCCCAAGTGGAAATTATCGTGTCGGACCAGCTTGGAAGTAAATTATTTAATTATGAAATATTACATCAGTAGATGTCAAACGGTTGTTCTCTTCAGATGAAGATACCTTATCACTGCCACGAATATGTTTCGCTGAAACAAGGGTAGAAGAATACCTGATGATGCGATCTATAACGGATCGCATCCAGATCGTGGAATCGATGGTAACGATGCGTAAAACAATTTACATGTTTCACAATGATACAATGACATGTTATAATCATTGTTCACTTTATTTTATGTTAATGGTCAGCACGCCTATGATGCGCGGCCAATTATGACAGCTCTATTTATAGCTGAAAACGTTGCGAATACTGAAATTATTATTTTTTAAATATACCTATAGTTTCAGAATACGATAAGCAAACTATATGACTAAGTTTATAATTGAATATACAGGGTGGTCGCGACGTAATAGGCCAAAATTCATGGGTAGATTACCACTAAATTAATAATACCTGTAGGTACTTAATTGTAATTTAATGCAACAGCATTGGAAGTTTCAAAGCCAAATATCTCGGAAACGGTGCGAGACAGCTACTTTCATAAAGTCTACCTTATTTGTGTAAAAATAGTTGGAAAATAAGAATTTGCAACCAAAGATGAGATACCTTAAAGCACAAAAAAGTTATGTCGTTTTTAACAAATTCAATCTACTGCAGCTAGCGCCCTCTATGAACTTTAACCAAAATGTGAACAGATTTCAATTCCTCTACTCAACGAACTCCAATCCCCAAAGGAGGATGTGAGGATATTTGCATTTGCATTTGCATATTAAAAAAACTGAAATAATATTTTACATTTAACACCCTGTATCTCTTTAACTATCAACTTTTGGACTAAGGTAAGTTCGGCTAAATCGCAATATTTTTACTTGGGGAATCTACCCATGAATTTTGGCCCATTACGTCGCGACCACCCTGTATATGTTTATTCGAATGAAAAGGACATACCTACGTATAATGAAAACAATATAATTTAAAATATTTTAAAACCAAGAAAAAGATGTGCCAGTGGAAACTAAGAATTGTATTAAGATTATAGGAGAAAGAGATCTGATTCAATGAAAAATATAATTTCAAATATCTTTTGCAGTTTATTTTATATTTCATAATCACCTACACCGGATATTTTATTTACAATTAAATATTTTATATCCTCTATATACGGTGATTGACAGACAGTTCATTAAAATGTATAGGTATACGTATATCATAAATTTCACTCATATTGATTACGTGGTTTAAGCTAACGACTCGTTGTCATCGAGATGTGACTTGGGGCGCGAAAATGTCCCGTTTAGATACCATTTTAGTGAAGTTGCAAAAAAAGTGATCCTTTATATTGAGACAATAGTATATTAAGTATTAAGCTCAGTAAGAGTTCTTTACTGGTTAAGGATATGTCCGAAACCATTAAGACACTTAATGACGTTTTTTGTATATATTTTTCTAAAACACTTACTTTTCATGTTGATGCCGACATCTACTAGTGTATGATAATTGGGTGAATCGAAGGCGTCCAAGTCGTCGGAACTTATCTTGGCAGTGCGATTTCCTCTCAACAGTTTATTTGCAAAGAAAACACAAACTTCCGGGATATTATAACAGCCGGCAATGATCAGCGATGATAGGACATTGTCTTTTGCGTCACTACGTGTTTCGAAGATTGGGATCTGTGAGATTTTATTAGAGGAATTTAAAAGTCATTTATTGACACAGATGTTACACAGAAATATGGAACTACCTACTACAAATTCAAGAAATAGAACAATTAATTTAACAGCAGCAGCTAATTTCCATTTTATTCAAATTATACAGGAAGTTTTGGAAAAAGGTACAATAAATTCAAGGGCTGATAGAACATAAAAAAATGAGATGGTCTAAGAGTCTCTATCGCTGTTTGTTTTTTTGAGATACAAGGCATCAAATTTTATCTATATCTTTTCCAACAAACACTGTACCTAATGCATTGATAGGTAAGTTATTTTAAGAACAGGTAAGAGAGTGCTACGATTTTATCCAGAAACATTTTCTAACAGCATTTTTGAGGTTTTACGATGTAAGTCGTACATTAAAAATTCACAGAAATCGCACCGTTCTTTATGAAAAAGCAATTGACTGTCCCAAAGCCAGTTTCTACTTCGTAATACACAGGATGTTCAGAAATGAATGGGCATACTTTAAGGCTGACTTTCTTGGATCAAAATAAATCGATCGAGTAGATCAGGTTACCTTGCATGAACTTGCTTCCTTAAATAGTGATTATTATTAGGTAGCTAAAATGGAGTGCATCTTATTTTTTGTGATCGCCGATAACATTTTAAAGAAGTAAAATCCTATTAAAGCAACTTGATCTAAATCGGTTTATTTCCTTGAGATATGTCTATTAGTTTTCGAACACAATATATATTAAGGAATAGAATCTAGTTGATTTCGAAACAGTCGATTGTGTTTTTTTAAGAACGGTACATTTTCAGTTTCAACAAGAATATCAATTTTATAGTTGATGATTGAAATTTTTTAGTATAATCTGTCACGTACATTGTAAAAAAACTAACTTCAGAACAGTTATATCATAACTAAACGAATAGCATTAATGCTGTTAGAACCCTTGAAAACTTACCCGTACCAAATTTCAATACTATTTTTTTGGCAAAATTACGGTAAAATCTTTAACACACCATATCTCAAAAACAAAAGGTAATAAGGCTTATGTTTCTTATTTTTTGTGGTTCTCGATGTTCTATTACTTCCTAAATTTGTGGTACCTTTCCCACCCAAAACATCATGAATATATAGCTATATGTACAGGTCAGCTGAATGACAGTGTAGCTGAATTTTCTATTGTTCTTTTCCCACATTATTATAAGCAGTGAAAATAAGAATGGGAGATAATTTCTTTGTAAGTTTGCATTATCCAATGGTTTTAATTTGTTCCATATGTATTTTTTTATAATTATTTGGATAGATTAGTTTTTATTATAAATTGTGACTACTTTATATAATGCAATTTCTTCTTCTATATGACTAGATATAGTACCTGAGAGTGCGTATATATTTACTTAAACTTTTGTTGATGAGAATTTACGAGAACTTTTTGAATTAATTTGAATTAGCTTAATATCTTAAATTAACAAATAATAAGTGATAGAATCTTTAGATAAGTGCAACTAAAATTTCTAGAAACAATAGACGACTTACTTGAGATCCAGTTATAATAACAGGTTTTTGAAGACCCTCCATCATAAATGATAGAACTGACGACGTATATGCCATAGTATCGGTCCCATGAAGTACGACGAAACCATCATATTTGTTATAATTTCTCTAAAAATTGCATACATTATTCCTAAATATTTGTAAACTGAATTAAATAACAAATGTTCTGTAGCTGAATCAAATAGGTACTCGAAAATAAATGTACTGAAAAAAGGAAATAGGATGTCCCAGGACTGCTAATCACAGACTTCTGAAATCAAAATGTATACAAAAATATGCTCTTACTGAGATATAGGCCACTGAATATAGTACTATGAATATAATTTTTTAATATCACTATAAAACTGTTTTAGTTACACGTCTTTGTTTGTTTGTTTGAGTATAATATATTTATTGAATCTTGAATATGTAAGAAAATTACCTAAAAGGTGTTATGGAGAATCCCCATCTCATTGACTATCGAATACCCCTTTTCTGATTGTGACTACTTAATTTAAGTTTTCTAATACAAAATCAATTTTTAAAGATTTTTTGTCTCTTGTGAAATTCTGCGGATATGTATGAAAACAGAAACACTTGAGTTCAAATTTTCTAATTGGAAATTATGTGTATAAATGAAGCGAGTGTGAATAAAAATGTGTATATACATATAACTATCTACATTTACTAACCCCAATATCTGTAGCTATTCTAACCCATTCCTTGGTCGACATATTGCTGGAATCAAGAAGTGGACTGTATTCTATCAGTTCATAAATGACAGTATTTATTCCAGTAGCTCTGAAACTTAAAAAAAACCTAGATGACATATTTGTTTATTTATATTTGAAGTAATGTCTAATTACAGTAGGAATAAAATTTATATATTCGAAAATCACCCATGTTTCGAAATAATTATCTTTCAAAATCGCTCCATATAAGGCGCAATTCCCACCTAAACAATAGAAATTCATAGACAAATCAATGTACATGACCTACTACGCAAATCGAAGAACGCAGGGCGAGAAACCACATTTTCATCCATGTTTTGAAAATTTTCACAATTTTACCCTCGCCTAGAAAGGTGCCAAAATTTTCACGCATCTTTCGAAGATTCCACACCAAACTATGATTGCGGCCATAAGTTACCAACTGTATCAGACGATGACAATGTATGTCCTTTATCCCCCAGAGGCCGCCGACACTGCAGGAAGGCGTGAAAATCTGCAACCATCTTCTCAAAATCGGCAAAAATTAAGAAAAATAAATAAAACTTGAATGTCAAAATGACCTTAGGGTCAACATTAACACTAATGATTTTCAACACACCAGCGCTTTGGAAACGCCTGCCATCCACAAAGGAACAGTTTTCAAAGTCCAAGTTTTCCGAATCTGATACGGACCTCACTGATTAACACTCGGCGAAGCAAGCGTCAAGAGTGTTCGAACGTCAGCCCAGAGATCGTGCAGTTCAATAACCAGTGTCGGAACTTGACTAGTATAAGTTGTACGTACCAAATTTTTCAAGCTGTCATACATGTGCAAATGTTACATATATTCAATTAATATAAACATTGCAATAAATCCCACAATTAAAAAAATCAATAGTTAAAAATTATTCCTAAAAATTTCACGATCCTACGAGATACACAGCGCCTAAGCTGCCATCCACACGGGTTTAAAAGCGGCCATACACAAGCCTTCCAAGCAGGCAAATTCAAATCAAGTTTCCCACACCGTCTCTCTAAGGAGGATTCGTACTTATAAGCTCTAGGGTCCTAGTCCAGTGATAAAGAGACAGCAGAGTACCATACTTGACAGTGCTTCATTAAATCAAATGCATAATACAATAAAATATTAAAGGTTTAGTCGAATACTTCACAAACAAAGAAAACAAAAAACAATACAAACCCACCAACATATCGCAGTGATAGTGTGACTTTAGACACAAAATAAAGCGTGTACCGTTATCCCAAGACCAAGCTATCTCGTCATCAATGTAGGAAGAGCAATAGCATCGACGTCATCTATCCCAAGCGTCCGTTGATGTTGATATGAAGGGAAAGACCTCCCGGCACCACAGGCAACAATGGAGACCACATCAGGAACCGTTGTTCCATCCGATTCCATTACGAGTGTGTTCGATCCCATTAATATGCTAAGGGATAATGAAGATCGGTCAACGACCAATCAAAATCCACGACTTACAGGGAGGTTTCATCTGGTACCGATTCTAGGGGTAGAGGCCGGGGATAAGAATGCATAAGCCTACCAGGCAGGAATAATTACCACGGACCAGCACGGCCTCGTGGGGCCTTGCGCAAATAGTGGAGGAGTTAAACGAAATACTGATAGGTTCGTTACAATACTATAATAATAGGTTTGTTTCTGCATCAGTCTCAAACTGTTTTCAAATTATCAGATAAGATCACGAATCAATTAGTCAAATATCTCTGATAGTTTCAAATCAGTCATCAACTGCTGCAGAGACAAACCTAATGTTATCATATGCAAAGTGATCCTGTTGAATAAACGGAACCACTACGGTGTCCGTGGCAAACTTTTAAACTGGATCAAGTCTTTTCTAGAGGATCGCCAATTTACGGTTCGTGTTGCTGACAGTTTCTCCGAAAAACGGAAGGTATTAAGCGGTGTGCCGCAGGGTTCAATCCTTGGAGCAATTTTATTTCTAATATACGTGTCAGACCTTACCAATAGCTGCAGATCTCAAGTGTTATCTTATGTAGATGACTTTAAAATGTTTTTCTCATCCTCTTCGCTTCTACAAGAGGATCTTGATATGATTATGAATTGGTGTTCTGAATGGTTGTTGACTCTTAATCCCGAAAAGTGCTGTGTACTACACATGTCCAAAACCAATCCTAGACTAGCATATAACATTAATGTAATCAAACTACCGAGTGTGACACATCAAAATGATTTCGGCGTTGTTATAACAGAGTCTCTTTCCTTTCATAATTAAAAAATCTTTCTGTGACCTCACAATCAGCATATTTCTCAAGTTATATAAATCCTATATTCGCCCTCAGATAGCCGAAGCCTTATGGTCTCCGTTATTAAAGCAGGACATTGCAAGATTGAAAGGTGTTCAAAGGCGTGCTACAAAACTCCCAGTCGGTTTTAAATACCTTATATATGAAGAACGTCTTATGCGCCTCCGTCTTCAATCATTGGAAGTGCGACGTACTCGTGGTGACCTCATAACAACGTATAGAATACTTCATGGTGAATTATACTGTCCAGAAACGATGTTTCAACTAAACACTGATTCTCGTCTTAGAGGTAACTCCTTCAAACTTAAGAAAGAAAATTTCCACACTCGCAACAGACATCATTTTTTACCCAATAGAATTTTCGACCTGTGGAACTCCCTACCAAATTATGTGGTTTCGGCACCATCTCTTAATTCCTTCAAGAACAGACTCGATGGCCACCTTAATCCCCAAACAAGATAATATTTTTCTATAATATGCATGCATATTTTATTTTTTTTTTTTACTGTTTGAATTCGTGTCATTAATTTTTGTTTCTTTTTATTGTATTTTTCTTTTCAGTCATGTATAGGATAAATAATTTTTTTTGTATTAGCGCTTAACAAGCATTTGCTTCAGCTCTTAAAAGTTCTTAATAATAACCAAAAGTAGCCGCTGAGAATAACTCTAAACGTAATAATTTTCTGATAAATCGCTGAAACACGTCAAGCAGGATTTCAAGAAATACACCCCATCTAGCCCCATCCCTCTAGCAGTAATATTTTAATGCATTTTTTAATTCTTTACACAGTTATATTTTTAGAAAATAGATTAAGATTTAACTGATTTTTTTTTACATTTGAAAGGGATTTTAAAGAAATCAATTTAATTATCATATCAGGTGACCTGGCTGGCCATACTATAGGACACAGGGTCCCTTGTTCCAATCCATCTTCCAGAAAACCGATTATCTAAAAATGACTGAAATTCAGAGCAAAATAAGCATCTCAAATTTGTGTGTTGGCGGTAAAACATGTATCTCTTAAGGATTTGCGTCAGAGAATAATTCACGAATATCGGACGATGGCATTAAATGTATTCAGGAATGTTCCCACGTATCTTGAATATGATATGTATGAGTATGGAACAGTGGTGATTCAGTTAGGTACTACATTTGAAAGATGCTTTAAAATGTGTGTCGTTTGGCATTCGCTTGTTATTTAACTTTTTAAAGCGGATAATTCTGAAAGGAGATTTGAAGGATTGAAGTTATACTCATAATATTCTATATGTGCCTTTCTTAAAGCCACATTGGATATATTTCAGCAATTTTTCATAAAATTATTATTTTCAAAGTTATTCGTGGTGGTTACTTTTCGTCGAGACACTAAAAGACCGTCACAACAATTTTTATCACAATTGCAACCTTGAAATTTACTTCCTATTGATTTGCTGCTTATATGTTACTTATGTTTTCATACTACCATTTATAGATAATATTTTAATATTTAAACAAAGCCATTATCAATATTATAGTAGCATTTTGTTAGACCTCTTTCAATGTCCACACTTTATATAAAATTTTAATTTCGCTATCTACCAAAATTTTTATAGATATCTATAATAATAATTAATATTGAGCAAGTGATCACTGTATTGAGTTCAGAATCCTTCATGTTTATTTAAATCTGTCAATACAAACTAAACAAAAAGTAAATATAAGAGATAGATGCATTTAACAACAATGCATCTATCTTCTATCTCCCCACTTTTCTCCAAAAATATCATATCGAACCTTTTTATTGCATGCAAATAAATTGTTTTATAATACTTACGGAGGAAGTATCAATTCATTTTCTTTTAGAGCCCTAAAATATTTTTTGGCTTTCTCAGCGTCGTGCATTTCTGAATGGTATTTGATTTTCTGTAAAAATGCATTGGGAATGGGAATAAGTGCTGAAAACAAAAAAGTTATTTTATCTTTGGTAGTTTCTGAGATACAAAATACCATGTATTGAAATGAATGTTACACTGTGCCTTCATAAATGTTTACCGGCCACGTGATCCCCGAGCTTAGGTAACTCAACATTGCACGACGGGTACTGGTACCGAAAAATCTTGGCGTCACTAGTATTAAAGAATCTTTTACAATAAACAGTAACAAACCGTTATCCCTACGCTCAAGATAATGCGTTAGACTTAGACCAATCACAGCTGGTGAAACAGAATGTTGTGTTTTAAAGTAATCTTGATCGTATTGTTTTAATAATTTTTAATTTTGTCGAAATTTAATTACCAACATAAAGGAAATAAAATTACTGCCCCAAACAAAATTACTGGTCACGTGACCTGTATTCATTTATGAAGGTTGTCTATTGACCATTCACTAATTTAGCTTGGCGCTAGACACGGAATCGCTTCTCAGATATTCACCACTAGTGAAGCTTTTGCAGATTCACCACTGAAGCGTTTGGAAGCATTAAATGCGATCATTTACAGAGGTTATTACGGAACGTCTCAGAGGAGCACCTTTGCCTGAGGAGAGCTTCCGTTCATAGCGGCCTACCCCACAGAGCCTAACCCGAGAACAACAAAAGCAGGTCAAATATTCCCAGCTAAGGTTAAGGAAGTGCAAAGTAAGTCTGTAAATGGCAACGACCACGTCACGGTATAGCAACCCAATAACCATGGTGCTTTCAACACACTCCATTTTGTTCTACAAACGAGTAGATTTCGAAAGATAATTTCTTTAAATGCACAACAAACTTATTCTTATATCCAGAAGGATACATTTAAAATATAATCAAAACTATATCAGTAAAACAAATGTATCTATAGGCCTTTTATTATAATTTTTTTTTTGAAGTTGTGCCTTCCTCTTATTCCCTAAACTTAACTAAACGATAACGGTTCGTTCATAATCCAGATCAGCCGTCTTCAATCATTTCGATCTTTTTGAGGAACCTCCCCACATCTAAAAAAATTTTCACACATTCTTTACTGATTATATTTTATATTTATAAATACTAGGTATAAGTAAGAGTATAAATTATTTTAATAGTATTGATATTGTTAATTTCAAATTTTCAATTTTTGATTGAGTCGCAGAACCCCCAAAGAGGTTATGCGGAACCCCAGGGTTCCGCGGAACACAATTTGAATACCGCTGCTCCAGAAGATTATAATGCCGGGTGATTTTTCTTATCTGAAACTTTTAAATATCTCGAGAAATAAGCACCCTATGAAAAAAATATCCAATATAAAAAATATACCTATCTAATCATTCAACGGAGGGAATACATTAGTGACCCTCCCCTCCCCCCCCTCCTAGTAGATGAGTGGGAAGTAACTTCTAAATCTTAAATAGGAATACCAATTTTTTATTAGATATTCGGATTAAAAGTACGTAGGATTTGTCTGAAACATAGATAGCGCTGTAATCGACGAAATTCAATTTTTTCGATTTCTTCTACTGTAAACTCTGTAAACAAACAAAATTAGTCTTAAAATAAATTTTATTTCTCAAATTTTAGATTACTGAAAAATTAATTCAGAAGTCAAGAAACTACTGTTATCGTAACCCAGGAACAACGCGATTTCCCTCGTTTATGACTTATCAGAGTGCTTGATTAAATCTGTTTTTAAATGAATGTTTTTTGTATGTTGTTTTAAAAATACCATCCTTTCTTAAAAATAATTTCTATGAAATTATTTTATTATGTTTACATTTAACGTTTGTTATTTATTTCTTCGTGTTTTTTTTGTAACTGCAAAAACCCCAAAATAAACAAAGAAAGAAACAGCTCATTTTAATCAAGCACCCCCAAAGGAAATAGAAAACTACTATGTCCACGTTGTTGTTTCGCAGTTACGCTAAAAGTAGTGTCTTCACCAGCCATTTACTACAATTTTCCAGTTATACGAAATTTGCTAAAGAATAAATCTGTGCATACGATTTATAATAAATCGTATGCGTATGTTTTCAGTAAGAAAAATCGAAAAAAAATTGAATTTCGTCGATTTATCATGAATCGATAAAAATGTTTCAAACAAATCCTACGCACATTTAGCCTTAGAATGTGAACCTGCAATAAAAAATAAAGATTCCTATTTAAGATTTCAAAGTTACTCCCCGCACCTCCTACAGGGAGGGGGAAGGAGACTATTTTTAGCACTAATGTATATCTTCCACGGAATGATAAAATTTGGATTATAGACATTTTTTCGTAGAGTGCTTATATTTCGAGATATTTGAAAGTTTCATGTCAAAAAAATCACCCGTTACACTGTATTTTGAACATATAACCCTATACACTTTTTTGTGAAAGATAAAGTTTTAGAGTTATTTAACTGCATGATTATTGTTTGAATTTAACTTCAAATAAAGTCTCACTAACTTAATTTTCAAAATATTCATGCACACAAAATTGTGGGGTTTTGAATGATACCGCTCCCCAGTATTTCCGCCAATGATAGACATATTTATAAAATATATCAATTCATTATTAGTATTATTAGTTTCACATGATGAAACAGTTAAGTAAAATCGGATTCATCTGAAGGAGTAATAATTTAGTAAATCTAAATTGAACACATAAATAACAAGTCTGAATACAGAAAATAAATAAACCGTGACCTCAAATTTTTATTTTTCACTTCAAAATTATTTCAGCGGTATGGGCAACGGTATTGAATTAGGCGAATTATTTTTAGTATAATGGATTTTAAATGTCAACAAAACATAACAAAACATGCAGGATTACGATGCCAGCAGAGATCGCAATGATTCATAAAAAAAGACTTAGTAAAATCTATAAGTATATCTATCCATCACAATTTTCGCCACCTTCAAAAAATATGTAGAGCGGTCTTAAGTTGTCTCCCGATATACTTAGCACATATGTGACAAAAAAATATGAGTACCTCTTTGTAGAAGCTTTTTCTGAGAATTCTGTTTAGTAGGGATGGTGGATATTATGTTTTATACATCTCAAAAATATTTCGATATATATTATTCACATTTTCACTATTTCATCTTCAACTTCGCAATTCTTCCATTCTTCAAAGAGATGCTCTTGATTCATTTTGACAAATCTAACTTTTGAAAAATTCAGGTTTACATATGAAGGCACATTTGTAAAATGTCATAACATGGATTGCGTTTGCTTTGAAATGACACATTTTTGGCACAATTTCCATAAAACAATTGTGCTTTAGTTGTGTTACTGCTAGGAAAAAAAATTAATTTGTTTTCCTTGAAGGAAATAAACAGCAAAAATTTCAAGAAAATATTTGAAAATTGAAATACATTATCTAGAATAATTTTTTAAGTGATAACTAAAGTACCTGCTTTGTTGAAAACGTTTTTTTAATTTTTCAGAATTAAACAGAAGTAGATATATTTCTTTTTTATAATGTCTTGAGATCAATAAATTTCAAAAATTAAAAATAAATGAGGTAAAAATAAAAATGTTTTGGATGATATAGTGACAGTCACCCTATAAAACTACCCCTTACGCGACATGTAGATTTATTATCCGTTTTAGGAGAAAAGTTTACGTACTTTCCGTGTCGAAAATATCGGGGGACAATTTAGGACCATCCGTATATGTACCGATATTACAATTTTTAACAATATTACTTCCTTACATTAAACAGTTGAATAAAATTGTTAAAATATAATTCCACTTTACCTCCTAATGAACTTCTAATTAGGATAATTTAATCAATATGTGTCAACCGGATATAAATTATTAAATAATTTTACAATTTATATTTCCAATTCTGTTATCTGTAATTTGTAAGATAAGTTATTTAAAAAAAATGAAAAGGAAAATCACAGAGATAGAGACGCCCATCAGTTTTGTCACTTAAACATATATCGAATCATTATGGCAATTTATTTAAATGTAAATACAAAATTAATGCTAAATTGAACCAGCTCAGGTCCTGGATATCAATTAATTAAAGCGTGATTGCAGTTGAGAAATATTTATCTAAATTAAAACTAATAACAACATAGAAGTCCAAGACTGGATATTACCGGATAATGAATTTGTACATACATTTTGAAATTATTTAAATGTAAATAATGTAATTAAAATGCGTCTATGTACAAGAGCCAAAGTTATTACAAAATTACACTGTGCCTAATCGTTTAGAAAGGGATACATCTTTTTTTAGAAGGAGTAAAGTTTATCTCATCGTGTTTCAGTTACAAAAAAAAAGAAGATTGTACAGTAATTTGTGGAAACTATATAGAAATTTGTATTTCAAAGAAAATCTTTGAGTAGAAAGTTACTTTCTAGAAAAACATATATGTACGAACCATTGTCGTCATAGAAACGAAGTGAAACTGTAGATTTTTTTAAATGCTAATATTTGCTTTTTTCTTCCACGCCTTATTTGTTACAGAAAAAAGTTAATTTTTCTATTAATTTAGGTCAATTTCTTTTAGACATAGCTAACAAATATGAGTCGTTTCTAGAGGGATTAAAACAATTTGAAGAAAGATTCGACCAATACATCAGTTATTTTTAATGTACATATTAGAGATTACATGGGTTTGAATTTGAAAATATATTTAGATGTATTTGTTTTGTTATTATTAATGTCAATATGGTTATTGTTATTATTATTGTTCTTGTTGATGTTATTGTTATTTATTTTATGTCCATCCATCCATTTTTTTTTATTGATTTATATTGAGAATGTATTTAATTATCAGATATTAGTGTTAAGTAGGTAATAGGTAAATTACATTTCTCTCAATTATAAGTAACATAAAACTTCTAGTTAAAAAATATGCTGCTGAAATGTGTTAATGATGTTGAAAATGTTAAATTACTTTGACTTCATTTCTTGTCAAAACAATTTATTTCGCACTTTACTCGCGTCTTATTAATTGTCACGAAAATAAATGAAAGGATTTATGTTTTCTGAAACACAATTCATTTGTTTTTTTGGATTGCACAAATTTTTGAGCATGCCGATACTTCAAGTATTTTTAAACATAAGAATTTTATTGCATCTGCTCCTAAAACTTATGTTTTCCCTATATTTAACATTAACTAATTAATTTTTATCTTAAATTATGTTGAAATTGTTTCCAACAGTTGAAAATTTGATTCTGATTAAATAAAATCAAGTACAACACCAACTTGCACGTTTCTAAAAATAGGTCGAAAAAGATTTTATTGATCAAAATGTTCTTATACACCTTCCAGTGTTTTTGTGCACTTTCCGAATTTTTTATAGCGTAGGTACGTTTTTAAAAAATTATTTCCTATTTGTTGCTTTAAAATGTTGTTATATTACTAAGCATATAATATTAATTTGTAATGTATGAATACAAAGTAAAGTTAAAAAAAATATTAAAAAAATACCTCATTATTTCTTTACTAATCTTAGTGGACAAAAATAATGACGACTAAAATGGTCGCAGTTACCAAATTATGCAGATTTCATAAAGCAATTTACTTATATTAAAAATACCTTACCTCCTTTATCATTTTGTTGCATACCAATCGTCCCTCCTACATATAAAACAAGTACTTTTCTAAACTGTTCCATCCTGAGGTCCTAAGTTAACTATTACAAACAGATGGAGATAGATGAACGGTAAACTGTTGACTTTGATACACTAAAGTTAATTTAACCAATTTGGTTTGTTATATATAGACTTATCTTCTGTAAACAAAACAATATAGTTACTATTGCGAAGTGGGTAATACCTAGCAATTTAGGGGCTACTTTCCAAGATAATAAAATTCAAATACTAATTTCATATTCGAAAGTATAGATTAGTGAGGAACGATTTGCAGAATATTGCTGTGAGAGCAGAGTCGGACTTGGTTATATCGTTGTTTGTAGACTTTGGGCATTTTAGTCAGTGGCGGCTGGTAAGAGAGGGGCTCTTGGGTGCCGCCCCTCCTAGATATTTTCATAGTAAAAAAATATTATTTAAAATTTAGTTTACAATGTTATTTAGATAATTAAATAGATTAGCCTCATAAACGCATTAAAAAGAAAATTTTAAACTTGTAATGTGCAGCCAATTTAACTTAACCTGCAAAATTCATTTGAAAAACACTGAATATGTGGGTTGTTCGTAGCTCGCCCCTAAATCTCTGAAGTGTTTACAGTGGTGGCCATGGTTTCCATTGCGCAGCAGTGCAAGACGGAGTGAGAGTAGCACACTATGTAGATTGGGTTCTGTTTTTAGTCCACCTGTAACCAAGTAATAGTTATTCACCGCTTTTTTCTTATTAAACGTAATTTGTTTACGCGTGATGTAAAATTTTATTACCTACGTATTGTTTCTTGTGTGTTGCATCAAAGATTGTAAAAGTTCAAATTAGATTATAAAGACAGACTAACAGAACTTGCAATGCTATCTCTTCAAATCAGTGGTGAGAGGAATACCAAATTTTAATGAAAAAGTAAATAAAAAGTTTATTTCGGACAAAAACAAAAAAATGGACTTTCACTATAAAGAATAATGTTGAGCACTTTTTCACTATACAGGGTGTCCTGTTTATGTTTCAAAAAAACTTGTGTGCAAGTTCCTCATGGGAAAATAATAGGGGTACTACATGTAACGTGTTTTTCTTAGACGCTCTGTTTTCGAGATACAGTGTGTTGAAGTTGTTACTTTCCAAAATAGTTTTCCTTAATTATTATCTTTAAATCGGCTAAAGATAAAAATGTCAAAACTTGTACACGAGTAAACAGAAACTGTGCGTTAAGAATAATGCGCAAACGGTTTCTTTCTGAAAAGCAGTATCGCCGATACAGGTAATTGAAGGGGTACAATCGAAGAAGAAATATGTTAAAAGTCAAAATTTATTACATTTCTAAACGGTTCTGTAAACTCTGAAGGATACTACAAAAAAAAGGATACTTGTCGAAATTCCGTAGCATGTACCATTTTCGAGAAAAATGAAGTTGAATTTTTTTGCTCACATAAAGCGGCACAAGTACATTAACAAAATATCAAATTGAAAGAGGACCTCACCATTGAGTGAGCTGAAGACATTTAGCTACCAACAGTATTTGCATTTAAGACTATAATTTTAATTTCTTACGTATCACATGAAATTGTAAAACATTTTATTAACTAAAAACTAACATATAAAAAAATAAATCAAAATAATGGTAATGGTAATTAATTATCACAGCCACACAAAAAAAGAAGTTTTCTGTACTTTTCATGCGACATATGTTATCTGTAGTATTTTTGCCTCCTGATCACGAATCCGGTGTCAGAATTGAGCTATCACATCACAGGTATTTCCTAACCTCAAAAAATAAGTAAAAAATAGCAAAAATTCATGAAAAAGTGGATAGGAAAAAAACAAAAATTTTTTTTTTCTAAATTCAAATATTCATTTATTTTAAGACCCTGCCGAACGTGAATTAACGGGCAGAATGATGGTTATTTTTGTAACANTAATTATTGTTGATTGGACTGAATTGTTGATGGACATGAATGCTTAAAAAAAGTGATAAAACAGAAAAATATTAGGAAACAGACTCGAAGACATACAGAACAAAACAGCTGCACAATTAAATAAATGTGCGAACTCGAAATACTACAGTAGATACTGAAATTGTCCCCCATTTCCTTCTATGCAACCACATTTTTCTCGAATATGGTACATGCTACCGAATTTCGACAAGTATACCTTTTTGGAAATGTAATAAATTTTGACTTTTATCATATTATTTTTTCGATTATACCCCTCCAATTACCTGTATCGGCGACACTGCTTTTCAGAAAGAAACCGTTTGCATATTATTCTTAATAATTATTCTGAAACATAAACAGGACACCCTGGATTTCAATAGTACTTAAAATAAAACTAGGTACCCAATTATTTTTGATATTTTCTTCAATACTTTGTACCATAATTTTTCCGCCCTTTCTGGTGTGGTAGTCAAGAGCCGTCTCCGGTTTAGTAATCTGTAAAAATTACTACATATATCCACACCAGTACATTTTTTTAAAAGAATTTTTCAAACTCCATTGTGTTTCGTCGCCTTTTTACACGCACAATTTTTAAATGGTATCTAATAAAAAAACACAAACAAAAAATTTTTTTTTTTTAGAAAACAGTAGATAAAAGTTAAAGACCATATAGACAAGGCGAAATCGGCGGCTTCGTATGAAAAAATTAGTGGATTTGATTTTTTTGCATAATCACCCCCGTGAATCCTTCCTGAATGAGGATCAAAATTTTACCGGTCGGTAACCTGGTCACAATTTGTTTAAACTAATTTTCTTTAAACAAATTGCAAAAATTACTTGTTTTGCTCCGGACAATTTTTTTTTAGGTTTTTTTGGGGTATTCTAAACAAAATAGTTCCTATGCACTATGCTCCTAAAATCAACGGTTTCCGAGTTATAAATAATTTAAAGTACGAAAAAATGCAAAAACGGTAATTTTCAAGACTCAAAAACAATAACAAAAAATCAAATTTTTGATGTTACTGAAGTTTAAAAGTAATCTTTACACATCCCTTGATAAAATACTGAGGAGTTATTTGATGTAATTACATTGCAATGTGTATTATTTTACATATTAACAATATACATTTTGGGGACCAACATTAAGCCTCTAAAAAATCAAGNTTTTTCGATTATACCCCTCCAATTACCTGTATCGGCGACACTGCTTTTCAGAAAGAAACCGTTTGCACATTATTCTTAATAATTATTCTGAAACATAAACAGGACACCCTGGATTTCAATAGTACTTAAAATAAAACTAGGTACCCAATTATTTTTGATATTTTCTTCAATACTTTGTACCATAATTTTTCCGCCCTCTCTGGTGTGGTAGTCAAGAGCCGTCTCTGGTTTAGTAATCTGTAAAAATTACTACATATATCTACATCAATACATTTTTTTAAAAGAATTTTTCAAACTCCATTGTGTTTCGTCGCCTTTTTACACGCACAATTTTTAAATGGTATCTAATAAAAAAACACAAACAAAAAATATATTTTTTTTTAGAAAACAGTAGATAAAAGTTAAAGACCATATAGACAAGGAGAAATCGGCGGCTCCGTATGAAAAAATTAGTGGATTTGATTTTTTTGCATAATCACCCCCGTGAATCCTCCCTGAATGAGGATCAAAATGTTACCGGCCGGTAACCTAGTCACAATTTGTTAAAACTAATTTTCTTTAAACAAATTGCAAAAATTACTTGTTTTGCTCCAGACAAATTTTTTTTAGTTTTTTTTTGGGGTATTCTAAACAAAATAGTTCCTATGCACTAGGCTCCTAAAATCGACGGTTTCCGAGTTATAAATAATTTAAAGTACGGAAAAATGCAAAAACGGTCATTTTCAAGACTCAAAAACAATATAAAAAAAATCAAATTTTTGATGTTACTAAAGTTTAAAAGTAATCTTTACACATCCCTTGATAATATACTGAGGAGTTATTTGATGTAATTACATTGCAATGCGTATTATTTTACCTATTAACAATATACATTTTGGGGACCAACATTAAGCCTCTAAAAAATCGAGGCTAACATGATTAGTTTTCGAAATATTTGAAAAAAAACGAAATATTGGAAAACCGTTTTTGTTTAATTTCAACCTTATTTGAGGTGATATTGGAAAACGAAGAACACTTTCTCATGGCCACTTTTTGCTCTCTATCGAATGGCATAATAAATTTTTATATGTAACGTTTCGTCTCTCCAGGATCATTATCAACTTCATTTTTTTAAATACTACCCTGGAAATTTTATAACATTTTTTGCAAGCCTTCATGACCCCCAATACTGTACTGCCTCAACCCGAACCAGATTCAGACGTTTTGTCTCCAAAAATTCATCTTCAGTGTATTCGTTCGAAATTTATTTAAATTTTTTATTTAGATTTCTTTGTTTATTGAATTATTGTACACTGTAAGTGTCGTTAGACCCTGTGAAATTCATCTAGTTATTTAAACTATTACCACCACGCATTAAAATAATATCATTTTTTTACCGTTTCCGAGATCCCTGTAGTGAGAAGCGAATTTGTAACAGCCTGTATATTCATCACCTCACTTTTTGATATATTTTAGCAATGCTGCATTTTTATTTATTAAAATTATTTTTTGTTTATTGAATATTATAAATTTCTAAACTTTACTTAAATAATATATAATTTTGAATTTGCGAATATACAAGTTTAAGACATTTTACTCTTTATTTTTTATTTACTTTAAAATATATGTCGAGATATATGAAAAAGTGAGGCGCTGACGGGGTCGGCGAACAGTGGAGTGCCAGAGCAGCGCGGCGCGCAAGTCAAAAGGTAAAATAATACGTATTGCAATGTAATTACACCAAATAACTCCTCAGTATTTTGTCAAGGGATGTTTAAAGATTACGTTTAAACTTTAGTAACATCAAAAATTTGATTTTTTGTTATTGTTTTTGAGACTTGAAAATTACCGTTTTTGCATTTCTTCGTACTTTAAATTGTTTATAACTCAGAAACCGTTGATTTTAGGAGCATAGTGCATAGGAACTATTTTGTTTCGAATACCCCAAGAAACCTAAAAAAATCAATCATAGCAAAACAAGTAATTTTTGCAATTTGTTTAAAAAAATTAGTTTAAACAAATTGTGATCAGGTTACCGGCCGGTAACATTTTGATCCTCATTAAGGGACATCTCACGGAGGTGATTATGTAAAAAAATCAAATCCACTAATTTTTTCATACGAAGTCGCCGATTTC